TAAAAAAAATCTGCAGACTTAAATATATCCATATTCCTTCTGTATTAATAAAGTAAAATATACTGAGAGCAATGAACTTTTGTGGCAATGTTCACATTCTACCTTTAGACATTATGGACATTCATTGTTGGACACATAAATTTAAGAAGGGTGGTCCTACTTAGCTTTAAATAATTCCTCTACTGTCTCGCATCCAATTTTTAAAAATTTAATGGCCAAGTAGTATCACAAAGATGACTGATTTGATAAGGGAAATTTGATTGAAAAGAACAAATTTAGTAATGTAAAGTGCTTATTAATTCTCCTTTTGACTATTACCATATTTTGATTAGATTTGCTTTTCTTTTTTTTAAACGAGGCTTAATCTAAACATGTATCTGACAGTCATTTCCTTCTGTGATAGAAACTGTTGTCTGAAAGGTAAAATGTGCAAGTCCCCATTCTTAATATTCATATATTATATACACAGTATGTATACACTTAAAATATAAGAGTTACATATCCTGGTCTCTTACATGCAAACAGTAGATCACAAATAGTTTTGAGCTACACATATCTTGCACAGGTATTGGAAAAAAATCTGTGAAAATTTTTTTACAGTTTTAACAAATATACATAAATATAATAACATAAATTACAGTAAAATATTGACAGCATTTAAGAAAATGTTGATAACCCAGATGCACTGATGCCTAAAGGCCTTATAATAATAGAAAAGTACAGTTCAGGGACATCTCATTCCTATTCTCTTTTAAAATAAGTAAATACATCATATGAGATATTAGTTATTTCTCTAAACAACTCAATTAGAGAAATGTATATATGTATATATTTTAGTCTCCACTTCCCACACAGAAGAAAACCAACCCCACATCTCATTTATGATACAATATTGTCTCTCCCCTCTACGTTTACACAGTTGTCACAACACTGAAACATAACAGGGTCACATAATCATTCAAGTCTTTTCCTGAGAATGAAGTTTTTCCCCAACTAACCCTCTGATATACATTGTTAAAGGAACAAAGATCATGTAGAGAAGATTTCAAGTGTGTACTTTAACCTAAGCTGTTCCACTTGAAAAGAATAAAAAAAGAAACTCAATAGAAGTAAAATAATGTGAAGCTATTTTAAAATTAAAATGTAGCCCTTTGTACATGTTTAAAAATTCTAAATATAATTTTTATATCAGTTATAAATATAATGTAAAGACCTCTTGAGAACTTGTGGCAGGAAGTCTTACATCTTCAGATTGAAAGACTACTCTCAAAGTGTCCTTCACTTCTGCCAGCTTATAAAGTGACTTACTTTAAAAGAGATAGAAAGCCTTTTTTGTTAAAAGAACAATCTAAATTATTCTGAGTTGGCCAGAAGTGGTGTAAAAACAGCACTGATTTAATCAGCAACTTCTTATAACATATTCTTGGTTAAGCTCATGTGGTTTAAAGCGAACCTACTAGCAGCTCTTTACAATACCTCCTCTTATTTAATAGAGAAATGTTAATACTTGAGTGAATAATAAATACAGAATTGTAAATACTTAGAATAATTCTTGCAAATGCTCTAACACCATTAAAACATGAGGGTTATTGTAAAACTAAACACTAGTGTTTCTCTTAGCATCATAAGAATGGTGCGAGTTACCTCTGAAGGGGCATTTCCTACGCTTGCGGTCTCCCCATCAAACGAAATACAAAGGTATCTTAGATTAAACCCCCAAGAGAGAAAAACAGCAAAATAAACCATCTGAAGACAAGCATGTACATCAAAAAGGGAAAAAAAAAAACCAAAACATAATTTGTCATCTTAGCCTTATTTCAGTCATAAGTCCAACTAGTGTCCATGAGAATTCAGTGCTTCAGTGTGTCTCACATCAATCAGGCGAACCCGATGACACAAATCTCCATTTGTGAATCCATACGTTTCCTTCATCACTTGGACTTACAACCTACGTGCGACTCTTCCGCAGTCCAAAATGCTGTGGCTCACGTTCCAGTTGTTCGTGACAACAGAGCTTAATGTTCAGGTGCAATTAATAAAAGTCTTGGTTGGCAATTAGAAAGATTTTCTATAGGCAGGAAAGATGAAGTGCAAATTTACCACAAATGTTCTGAAGCAAGTATTTCCCAACTCCTATGCTTTAGTGGGTAGAAGTTTTTTGGGTGTGACTGGTCTCTTGGTCTGCCATAAATGACTATGAATGGTAATCGCATCAACACTGGCAGATAAAGTTTTAGCAGGTATGTGGCTAAACTGTTTCCTGTCAGAATTATATTTGTAAAGTCCCTCAATCATTTTTTTAGTGATAGATTTAGGGCCTATCCCAGTCAGTTTATTAATTTCTTCAGTTTCTGGACAGTAAGTATACAAAGACCTGAACTGGCAGCCTGAATCCCGGAACAAGATTAAAAAGTTGTTGGCATCTGACTTCTCCATTTCCTTCAAAATAAAAACAAAACAAAACAATAAAAATTCTTAAACATTTCACTGTATAAAATTTACATAATTGTTTTACACCTATTTTGGTCAAATATTATGACAAGATTCAAAATATAAAATCTGAAGAACAAAAATAAAATGTGTATTATAAAAGCAAAGTACACTTTCATTAACAATGTATGCAAAACTTCACCTCTGAGGTGCTGTTGGCTCTGTGTGGATATTATTATCCTGCAGGAAGATATGAAATGTCTGCTAAATCTTGACCTTAGTCAAATAACCACTAACAAACCAGGCACTGATTAGCAATTTTGCAATACAGCCTCATTTTTAAAAATGAAAACTACCTTACTTACATTTATGAAACATGAACAAGTAGCTCTGGGCAAGAAAAGAACTTACAATTTTATATTATTATCTGAGTCTATCCTAGGCTTAATTAAGTCTGCAGTCTTCTAAAATCCCATTTGAGAGTGAACTAACTCAATCTAAAGTTAAAACATAGCTCCAGATCTTCTATATGCTGTTGAAATCCTAGGAGAGGATGGTACTTTCAAGAGTACCAAGAAAGGGTACTTTCTTTTGAATTGGTAGCAGAGAAGACTCCTACAATTTTAGAATGTTGCCAAATTTAGTTTTCATGCAAACATGCTTACCTCCAGTATCTTTTTCTTCTGACCTTCATTTACTTTTCCAGCCAAACAGCAATGAGCTAAAGCATTCTGTATTATGTGCTTATTGGATTTGGCACTGGGTTCTTTGTAGAGCTTTGGTCCTGTGGTAAGAATTTAGCAGCAAAATAAAAATAGCATTCCTAAGTCAGAAATAATACTATGTTTAAATGATATAATTGTTCCTATGTTGAGGAAACAATAACAAAAAATCAAAATCTGTGCCTAAAGGCTGCTGAGTGCTGTATTCCAATCAGAACATTGTTTTATCCACACAGGGAGGCATCTTAAGGATGTTGCCAAGAAAGCTCTGAGACGGTAGTGCTGTTAATCAGATGGGGCTATAATTGCCACACTGTCTGCTTCACCCTCTTTCTCAAGTCTGCTAAGGTTACTGGTGAACTTAAAGCAGAACAGATCGATGAGTAATTACAGCTTTTAAAACGACTGGAAAAGGCTTCATCTTTTTCTTCATCCACATATCTGAGATTTTTAAGCATTTTTCTTTAAACCAATTCTACTCCTTGGTCTGCCAAGCAACAGAAGCACTTTGTGCCATTTTCCTGGAACATTCCTAATAGGAAGTACAGTACAACCTCCCTACTTCATAATAACTAAACTCTGTCCTGGAAGGCAAGGATTGTCCTTATCCTCCATAGTGAGCCAAGAAACCAGTTTTCTGGGCGGGGGTGGGGGGGTGGGGGTAGAAATTAGCCCTGATGGGCAGGCAGCATTTACCTCTTTCTGTGATACCAATCACTCCTACCCTGGCTAATATCAAACTACCAATGATTCTGCAGTTTGCATAATTCCTGAAAATTTACAAGTTCCAAGAGCCCTATGGTATGAGCTAGCACAGCACACCACAACTGTGTAGCTCTAGGTTTGAAACAGTGCGTGGCAAATATGCTTGTTAAGTGAGTTTACATAGAGAAGCAGAGGGAAAAACAAGGAATTACCATCTAATCCCTGGCATTAAAGGCTGTCCAACTGGCTAAAGGAGGAGTGAAGTACATGGGCAAAGTCAGCAAGTTCTAACCTCCTTACGCCTTCATGGGGCTTCCATTTCCAGTGGGTCACCCGTGGATGGAGGCAGTCGCCACTGCCCTGCACGTTCTCCTATGCCTTTCCACTTTAGATCCCAATGGCTGCTCACATTTCTTTCATTTTCTCTGGGGCCTCATTTCTTTACAAGCGTCTTACATCCTGTTCTTAAATTTGCTTTTGTTTCAGTAATGCCTACCCAAACAAAGGCTGGAAAAGGATCTGATGTGGGGCTGGTACCTTCCTGCATCCAATGCATTCCCCTCAGCTTTTAGAGTCCCTTCATACTTTGTTGTTGTTGTTTAGTAGGCTATACATGGGGCTCAAACCATAGGCCCTAGATCAAGAGTTACTCGCTCCACTGATGGAGCCTGCCAGGTGCCCCCCGCCACTCACATTAATGCGTTTTAAAGATGCACAACTCTAGATACCCGAAATCCCAATGTTAGAGAGGCCTTTGTGGACTCTAGCCTTTTCTCAGTGCTCAGGACCAGTGTATAGCTGACAGAACCTCTCTAAAACTTCTTCAGACCCAAACCACAGCACAGACATGGTCAGCGTCTTCAAGTAGATGGATGCAGTGTGATACTACTAATTTTGTTTAGAAACTGATCTCAATTCACCTGGGACAAGTCACTACCTCCCTAAGTGCAACCGTATCACTGAAACTGACCTCCCTGAAGGGACCATCTGCACTCAGTGTTCTTGTTCAGATTCCCCAGTGTCTAGACCAAGAGAAGAGCCCATGAAACTTTCATTAGATTAGCCTGTATTTGTTCTCATGACTGTGTTAAATTAAAACATCTCCCTAAAAATACGGACCCTGACCTGTGTATTCTGTTCCAGAAGCTACTGAAGAAGTTGTTGATGCATTTTCCCAGTCCTTCTCCCCATTTCGACTGCCGCAACGACTTGGAGACAAGAAGCCTTCTACAGACTCAGATCTAAATGGTAAATAAAGTATTTTTTAAGTTTCGAACAGAAGAATACTTGGGGGTCAGAAGGGATATTTGTTAAAGTACCAACCAAAATCAACGTAAAAGCTTAAAAAATCAAAAGACGGTTTAACTGCCTTATTCAAGCTGTGCACCCACGTGCCTGGACACCACGGGCACTCCTTACCTACTTGCTCACTGAAAGGATGAATGTTTTTCTATATGAAAACTGGCCATTACTGCAACAGGATGTTGATGCAAAAATCAGAACTCAAAACTCAAGCCTGTCACTATACACATTCTCTTTCCACATGGGTATTACAGCGCGACGTAACGAAATAGGGCTTTCAGTTTCTAATCTCCATCTGAGAGAGACAGTACAGAAGGGATCTTTCCCAAGTTAGGCAGCCTACTTGGGAATTATTCTAGGAGAAAAAAGTAGAGAGGCTGGCACTTATATAGATGATGTGCTATATCTGCACACTATGATTTTACCAAAACCGTATCAGCAATTACTGTTAATGTTTTATATTTTATAAAAAGTACCTTATCAATGTCAGTAACCCTAAAATCCTAAAAGATAAAAAAGTCAAATATGAATAGCCTCTTTATATTTAAATTTATTTAAACAGAAACACAAACAGTTCCAGTCAGCAAAACTATAAAAATTTGTGTTATGATTCATTCATTATAAAATACAAGATAATTGTTGGAAACATTCTTTTCTGTGGAAAATATTCACGTTATGGATTTACCTTGGAGTCCTCTTGCCTGAATGCACACTCTCGTTATCACCTGTGTTCAGTGATGCCAAAGAAAGGCTAGAGACTGAAAAAACACGATAAATTCGTGATCCTGAATGAAAACAAAATTAGAAATTTAAAAGGAGCAACTAGAAAAGAGTCTGTTCATTAGATAACACCAGCATATGAACACTGAGCTTCTGTAGTTTTTTTTTTTTACTTTTAATCTAAACACATAATATGCTTGCATGCATATATGCACAATTTATTTAAAACTAGCAGTGGTACCTACTTTTAAGAAATAATGATAAAACTAATTGCTGTTAGGATTTATCCCAAAACGAAAGTGGTAATATGAGACACTGATATTATAACTGTAAGAAAAAAGTTAACAAAAGATATTAAGAATAAAATATAGTTAGGGATATCCAGTTCCTACATGGGAAATTAATTTATTAATTTTAGCCAGTACTGGGTATCAAAAAGTTTTGTTGGCTAGAAAAGGCAGAGTTCTCTTTAAACGGTCAATGTTATGTTATTTTTTCTCAGTTTTAGAGTTAACTATGGGAATTCTCTAAAACTTCCCACAGGGTTTAGTTTTAATAAAATATATATATTTTTAAAAGTGAGTATGTGTGCTAAATTTTAGAATACATTCTCTCAACTCCAAAAATTACAGATTTGGACGTTTGACCATTTCTGTCTTAAAAAAGGGATTCATGAACTCTTGTTTCTATATTACTTATTATACCAATGTGTTTCTTATGTATTTCTGTGCACACAGTGTTTATCCTTAAATGGACAAGTATGGAAAGGGCACTGGCAATTCCGAGAGATTATACCCGATGGCAGAGTCCCTGATAGGTTAGGATGCATCCTGGACACTTCAGCACTCACACTGGCTCTACTGAATATATGCATGCACACATAACACAGAAGTCATAAACAAAACTACATTTGCTCATTTTGGTTTTCCAAATTAGGAGCATGCACCATCTCAAATTGTGGATCCAATTTCGCATACCAAAGCACAGTCGAGTTAGTATGACAAACCGGGCTGGTGTTTTTTATGAACAGACTCTTCATAATAAGCTGTGTTACCTGGAGGACCTTTTATTGGTGTTTTGGGAGACTCGATATGATCTCTGTGAATAGATTTTGGGCGCTGTTTTTTTTGTTTTGCTATTTGAGGACGGGGTTTAATTACTGTATCCATGTCTTCCATTAGTTTCAGTTGTTTTCGCCTCATGTACTCCTGTCTGATAAATTCTCTGCGCGCTCTCTCATCTTCCTTCTTCTGACGCTCTTCCTCAGTTTTACGCCTGGGAAACCAAATGGTTGAATTTCTTACTCTGCACACTAAAGAAACCAGATACTGGGAGTATGGCTTTGATGCGAGAAGGGAAAATTATTACGTTTCAGCACCTTGGGAAAAAATGGTTTAAAATTCGCTTGAGATAATTTAGATCATTAAAATATACATAAACATACCATTAGTAAATGATTGCTTTTTAAAAATATGTTTATGTGTAAAAACCCGTGAATTTATCTTAAATTAATGTTTCTGGAGAACGTTACTTTGAAATGCTTCAAACTCAGGATAAAAATGTACAAGCAACCAATACTTTGGGAAAATAAAGCAACTTGTATAAGCACCAGAAATCAGCATCATGTCAGTTGTCTCCAGACGCTGCAAACATCTGAACAAGCTGGTGGGGGCCCTGAGGAAGCAGAGCCTCCAGTACTGCCGCCGGGTGGCTCTCGGATCCAGGGTCCGCATGGCCAGAGCCTTTACCTTGTTTCCTCTTTCTTATGTTCCATCTCTGCTTCCAGCTGCTGTTTCCGAAGCTGAGTCTCCTTCTCCCTCCGCAGTCGTTTCTCCAGCAAAGCTGCTCGTTTCATTGCCATGTCATTCTCTGCTTTTTGATCATCCTAAGCATGGATTTCACGGAAAAACGTGAAATGTTGTGGTCACATTGTCTAGTCATTCTTATTCCAGCCCCACCCTATGCGGACACGTTCCAGAAATGAAGAAGGAAGAAGTGAATCAGGGGCGCCTCGGTGGGCCAGTTGGTTAAGCAGCTGCCTTGGGCTCAGGTCACTAAGCGGGGAGTCTGCCTGTCCTTCTGACCCACACCCCCTCATGCTCGCTTGCCCTCATAAAGCGGTAACAGTTCTATCAACTACCAAAAGACACTTACTTAATTACATGTTTCAAAACCTAGGAAGTTTGCAAAGAACAACCATAAAAAGGAAAAAAAAAAAAGGGCAGCGGTTTTTCTGGACCCTAATAAATAACTTAGAAGTAGGGAGTTTTCTCTTAGTTTTAAAAATTGCGTTCAAACTAGGGCACCGAGCTGGCTCCGTCAGAAAAGCAGGCAACTCTTGGTCTTAGTGTCGTGAACTTGAACCCCACGTTGGGTGTAGAGATTACTTAAAAATAAAATCTTTTTAAAAATTGCATTAAAATTGTATTTAACATACATGCTCAATAAAGGAAATTCAAGTGAAAGTACCCAGAAATTAGCTCTATGGTTATATAGCACATAAACCACTGCCACGTGACAGAACGGACACCAAGGTACAGATGTGCGCCCTGTTTCGCCCTGAAGGAGTCTCTCCCTTCCGTTTGCCCTTCTCTGCAAGGAACAGGGGTACCTGGGGTCTCTAAAATTAGTAAACTATATCTATTCTTGTTTACAGTAGCATTCTATTAAAAATTAGTCAGTTTACATGGTTAAGAGACAAAATATGACTTACATTCAAATTCTCAACTTTAAAAGGGGCTAACAGGCAATCACCCTCAGATCAACTTTAAGTTACAAATTTCCAACATTAAATGACCAAAAGTAAAACTAGTGATGGTAATCACTTCAATGTTCTTGGGTTCTTATTCCTATAAGACTGTTGTTTCAACTTAAAACTTAAATTATAAACATAAAATCTTATAAATTATATTTATAAATTACAAATAAATTGTAAATTATAAATTATAAGTGATAAATGCTATTGAGTACTGTCTTTTTTTTTCCTCTGTATTCAAAATTGTGGAGCTAGACAGGATCAGAGATTATCTTACTTTAGTTCCTTAATTAAAAAAGAAACATGAGTAACAGATCCACATGTTTCTGATTATTAAAAAAAAATTTTTTCCTATAGGTAATCTGGAAAATACAGGAAAACATAAAGATGAAGAAAATGGATAATTAGAAAAATTTAAAAATATTAAGCTTTTTTTGTTTTTCTAGTACCTATGATAAATTTTAAGAGCTTGACCACCAAGAGGTGATATTGTTCAGTATTTGTTGGCTGGCTATAGTTTCCAATATCAATATTGAGATTAGGAGTCCTATGCTAGACCTTTATCCAGTGCTTTCAAAGGAGCTATTACTGTTCAAACTATATATGTTATTTTTAAATGTTTCACCTTACCAGATTATCTGGTCAATTTTTTTTAAAGTTTTTTTAAAGATTTTTATTTTTATCTGTCAGAACAAGCAGGGGGAGCAGCAGGCGGAGGGAGAAGGCGGCTCCCCACTAAGCAGCGAGCCAGATGCAGGACTCGATTCCAGGACCCAGGAATCACGGCCTGAGCCGAAGGCAGAAGCTTAACCAACTGAGCCACCCGGGCATCCCTTAAAAACTTTTTTCAAGAAACAAAACATATAAGGAAAGAAAATTTAAAAAAAACTAAAGTACACTTACAATGCCAAATCATGTGCTTTTTACAAACTGACAGCTCTTTGAAGAGATCCAAATAGCTTCACATTTTTTTTAAAGGCTTTTATAAAAGCAAGCAAGAGAGGCAGAGGAGTAAGAATAGCGTATCTAAACGTGTACCACGACCTTGGTGAAGGGAAGATCGTTCAGTGTGCTTGGATGTTAGTACAGTCCACCAAGGGGAGCTCCTGATGTACTTTAGGGTTAGTGGCAGGCTCGTAACAAAAGGGACTACTACTAAAAGAGGCAAGCACACTGGCTAAAACCAAACCCATTGAATGATGATGCCCCCAAACAATGAAGATTATTAATATTACCTTAAAGAAGAATCCACAGCATACTTTCTGGTCATCATCAAATTGTTCTTTATCACTTTCTCCATCGTATTTTTCAACAGCTACATCAGCCTTTTCAGGAGGTTTCAGATCTGAGAGGGAAACTTCAATCAGATTAACATTTTTAGGAGCAGCCGGAGGGAAAACAGGTTTAGGAGGAGGCTCTGCAGGCTGGTTCAGCTGGTCCTCATTTGGCGTCAGTCGGACCGTCTCTGTGATAGGCTGGGACAGGACTTCGGAAACCGTTGACTCAAGAGGCTTAAGCTCCTTTTCTTCCAGGTTATGCACATGCTGCCCTGGGGGCCCTTTGGATTCCAGTTCCTCCTTTTTAATTTCTTCCTTAGGTTTGGATTCCTTTAACTGAGGCTCTCCATCATCCCCAAAACATACAAATGACCGAGTCTGAATGGGAACTTGACTTGGTGAAAACCTCCGTAACCGAGGAAGACTATCCACAGACCGAGGGGGAGTCAGGGTTCGATTCAAAGGCGTTATTTTTAATTCATTTGGCCTAGGAGTCCTCTGATTTTTAACAGAAAAAGATGTGCTCTTCCTGTTGGAAGACTGTGGGGATGGATGGGTAGGACGGGGGGCATCTGACGAGAAGGGCGCAACAGCTGACGACAGGCCTGCCTGCCGGGAAGGTTTAAAATCTCGGATCTGTTTTTGTGGAGAGGGCTGAGGAGGTGAAATCACCCAGGACTGCTGCTCCCTCATCTGCATCAACATCTCCTGCTGAAGTGACAAGCGCTGCATTTCTTGTTGTAGAAAATGGAGAGATGAATTTAACTTCTCAATGGACTTTGTATATTCTAAGATCTCTCCCTCGTTTAAAGTGTCCTCCGAGGGGCTTGCCAGGTTCCACTGCTTCTCTGGGTCAATGGGTGTGGTTGGAGACTTCAGCCATTTGGCCTGAGGGTTCTCCAGGCTTTCCTTCAGATCTGCCAGAGACTTACTCCTCTGTCCATTCGCCTTCTGGGAATCCTTTTCTTTGGCTCGATCGGTGTACACTTTCTCATCTTCTGCCCCGGCTGCTTCCTCTCGAAGAGGGGAAATGCCATCCCCTCTCTTTTTCACCACGGTAAGAAATGCCGTCCTTCCCATCTTCTGCCTCTGCTTAGTGAAAGCGGCCTCCATCTTCTTCTTCTGGGCTTCTATCGCACGCCTCTTTTCTTCCAACTTCATCCTTAAATGCACCATTTCAGAGGCCAACAGCTGGGTGGTGTCCCGGCCTTGTGGAAGGCCTGCTTCTTCTGGAATTTGTCCCCAAGCAACCACGTGTGGAATATTAAGTTCAGAACCTTCTGGTGTAGTTTTCTGAGAACTGCTCCCGCTACTTTTCCCATCAGTATGATTCAGTTTCCTGAATTTCTGTTCGGCAAAGCTGGTCATTTTAACTCCAGAACTAGAAGAAGCACTGCTACCTGGCTGAGACTTAGTACTTACAGTACTTGGACAAGGACTCAAAGCGTCTCTGGGGTTGCTGGTTCGAATATCATAATCCTGAAGAAATTTGGAAGCATCATCCATGTCAGAGTCCAAGCTTACAGTATAATCTCTCAAAGAAGAATCTTCATCCATAGTTTCAGGGATGTCTTCTGAAGGAACGTGAATTCCAGTGTCTACTTCAGTATTGTCAGTTATGGGACTCAAGGCACCTTTTGTATCAGTTATGTTATCAGGACTAGACTGATTTAGCTTGATGTTTGAATTTAGGATACTCATTTCCTGGTTATGAAGAAAGAAGCCATTAGCAATGTGGTCTGGCTGAGATGTATGGGGAGATTTTTCAGTATCATGAATTATTTGTAATGCTTCTTCAATGCTTGGTGTCTCAATCTGATTGCCAAACTCATCTAGAAGTACTCTATTTTGTAAAGCTCCATTTGGAAGCTTATAATGAATATTCTCGTTGGAATTCAGTTCATTTGTATTAAGGGGTGTGTACGACTTGAGGCCACTGTGAGAGTCTATATTAAGTTCTTCTTCAATGCTTTCTGCTTCCTCTTCTCCATTTACTGGCTTAAAGGACAAATTTTTCCTAATATTTTTAGATACACGATTATTGTTCAATGTGAGTCCTTCATTACTAATAGAACGAGTGATTCCTCGGTTTGGAGTGGATTTGTGTACAGTATTTTCTTTATCAAAAGAAATATCAAATGAAACTCCATGCACTGATGATCTAAAAAACATTTGAAGAGAAAATCCTTAAACACGCCCAGAAAAGAAATGATTTGATACCTTTTAACAATTATTTAAATTTGTATTTCCTTTCTTTTCTCATTTTGCATAATCCTGTTGTACTCAAGGTAAGCACAGGGCTACTGGGCTACCTTTAACATTTAGCCCCTCTGAACGCTCAGTCATCTGCCTACATTGCCCTTTTCAAAGTGAGGTACTAACTGCAACTTGGCTATCAACAAAATAGAATTAGCATTTCTTTCTCTTTTTTTAATTACTGAAGTATAGTTGACAATGTTATATTAGTTACAGGTGTACAATACAGCGATTCAATAAATAGCATTTATTGATAATGTGAACATACTAAAAATAATTCTCTTTGTTTACCTTTTCTCTTTGGGCCATGTCCCTATGAAACCATCAACATAGGACATAGATGAAGACCTTCTAATTCCTCCTTCAAATGTGAAAAAGAAATAGTCATTGAAAGTATATAAAAAATTTTAACTTACAGCTTAAGAGATTTCAAATATTTCAGGAGTCATTAAGAGCATTAAAAAGTAGGTATATATGGAGAAACAGAGATAATTCTATTAAGAAAAACAAGCACAGAGAAACCAATCAAACTTTTAGTGTACATACAATACTTTTCAAAAAAAAAAAAACAAAAAACCCCCGCATATTTTTATTTACATTTATTCTCAATCATTTCCCAGTTAACCTAGGTTTTTTCAAAAATATTACCTGAAGCTGAAGAATGAGCTTGGGGGCGTGAATGTCTAGAAGGCAAATGATGAGAGTGCATAAAGGCAGCTCCTTCCCCACTGCAAGGTAAAATAAAAACATTTTAACACGTTTTTCTTTAATATAAACTTTACACAGAATGGCTGAAATTAGAAACATTATCACCTCTGACTCTATCAGTATATGTATCTCTATGTATTTTATGTCTCTTAGTCAAAAGGCCTGAAATATTTTCATACACATCTCAGCGTCCTTGTGAGATAAGATATAGCAATTATTTTCATTTTACAAATAGAAAAACTGAGAAATGAATAAGTTAAATGAAAGTCATCAGCTGGAAATACTTAAATCTCCAGAAACTACAGGTAAAATAAACCCTTGTAAAAGATCCTGACAGCTTCCCTGCTCATGGACTTGTGTCTGTACATCTCTAATAGTTACATCAAAGTTAATGTTAATATGTTGAGCTGCACCTTAAAGACCTCAATGCCTATAACAATGTGAAGCTTTCCTATTTCTTAATTCCACCCCATTCAAATTAATGCAAGGGATTGGGTAGTCTGTTTCTCAAATTATCATGACATTTGGCCCAAATTTAATTTTTCTCCAACTTTCAAGTCTGTTGTAGCCTAACTCATAGTCAAGTGCAGAAGTTACACATCCCCACCCCCAATCAGTTGAGCATAAACTGGGAGTATGTAGTGACTTTTGTCGTCCCCCTACAGATCACATTATCTTTTGGCTACTGTAAACTGAGAACATGAACAAGTCAACCAAAAGATTCAAATGAAACAACAATCTTCTGTTCTTACTATTTAATGAAAGCTTAACCAGTGAGCTTTTCTAAAGGCAACAATACCTGAAGAACTTGCATAACCTTATTGTCTCCAAAGCAAATGCTTATCTGCTTCCATGTGCCTTTCCCCCCTAAACTGCTCATATTTTCAGAGAACTATCAGGGAGTACTCACCTGCCCCTGTCATGTCTGTTTACGTTAACCCTCCCTCTAAAATCACTGCCCCTGTTCTACTCTCCCGTTACAGCTATGAGAGGAGGCTAATCCTGAAGATACACAAGTTAATAATAAAGATATATTCACTCTTCTCCAGATAATGGCTAAAGTGTTTAAAAATCCTGTTAATTGCCACACTTTTACATTTGCATAGAAAATTCTGATCTGGTGTAACTGCTGAGCAGGTTAGTAGTCAAGTATGTGGATTAGCTGCTACAAATGTTTCTTGCTTTGCCTGTCTTCTTCATTTGTTTTCCCCTCATAACTTCATTAGTTAGGGACACTCACATTTGTACATGTGACTGCAGTTTTCTCAGTAAGAGTGGAAGCTTTTAACTCCTTCCTGGAAAGTTCTACAGTGGGAGAACTCCAGTGGACCACATGGAGACTTACAGAAATGGGAGGATTAGTAGGATCCTAGAATGACAGCTACACAGTGTCTCTTCAAGGAAAAGAATTTAGACTTCCATCTGCTAGGAAAAATGAGTAAGAGCAGCCACTGAGATATCTGAGAAACAGAAAAGAGAGGAGGCTTCCAGAGGGCCTGAAGACATTTTCCAGTGTCAGAAATGTGAAGAGTGTCCAATTAAGGTTCCTAGAAATAGTAACTGTGGGATGATCTAGCCTTGAAGCAAAAAGTTTCAGAGATTTTAAAGATTTAATAGTACAGTAGTCATAACCTAAATTTTCAAGGAAGGAAATGTCACTATGTAACCAACCCAGGAAAACACCAAGAAAATTAATATAGGAAAAAGTTTCCCATGGGAAAAAATACAGAGAAGCTCCTAGATCAGCAATATCCTAACTTAACCTCTTTTTGTAAAATCTGAGGCATAGATACAGAATAGAAAAGTTAATGGAAGTAGTAAGAAAAGCCACAGTAATAAATCAGAGGGTAAGTGAAGGAAAATGCTTTCTTAATCAGTAGGAAGTACTTTACAGACATCAGCCAGTCCAGAGTTGAGAAGCCCTACAAAGGCAATGAGAGTACCGTAAGGGTTCCGTCAGTCTTCCAGTTTCACACCCATTAGCACCCACTTGAGAGAGAAAATTCTTAAATGTGTGAGGTGGGTGACAGCTCAGAACAAGTTCCTATTTTTATGTTAAGCCAAGAATTTATAAAGAAAGTACTTTGAGTTGCCTGTTCAACAATTTAAAAATGTATTTTTAATGGATCTGCTTGGATTTCTAAAACGCCACAAAATACAACAATTTTAAACTTAAAAAAAAAAAGATAAATTAGGGAGTCCAAAGTCAATATAAATTTTAGGTTCTAATAAATATACCTAAAATGCTACTTACAGGATCTGCTGAAAAACATTTTTAAACAAACTAATGGGTCTATCATATGTTTGGGTCAGAAGTCAGGATTATCCTGATATTAAATTTTTATTTTCAGTTCAGTTCCTGATATTAAGAACTAAAGCATCACATATAAAGATTCAGTATTACAATAAACATTCTATTGTGATCTTTGGTTAGCTACAGTAACCGGCAAATAAAATAGCAGGGGAAACTACCTCAAAGATTAAAAAAATAAAAAAAAATTAAAAACCCAGATAGAAATTTAAAATTCCCCCCACCCTATCATTTAAGCAGTTCTCAATGATCAACAAGTTCTACAGCAAAAGTTTGGTTTTAAGCTGATTATCTGAACCTCAGAACATATTCTCCCACTTTTGGGTATGATTCATAAAAGCCTATGTATGAAACATCTTTTCTGTGTAAATTCAATTACATTTATATTAAAACAAGCTGTAATACTGTAAGCTAGTTAAAAACTAATGAAATTTTATTTTGATTTCATTAGCAAATGGGATGGAAAAGTGAAAATGAAGTCATTCTGGACTCTACCTTGAAGTGAAGTCAGAACTACACGAACTATCCAAGATGTTTGTTTTGGCCGCATTCAAGACTGGAATTGAAGGCATATCATTCACAGGTTCAGCTACAATAAAAGATGCAAGCCTCAAAATGATGTATTTAGCATGTTTCCACCATTTCAAGAATTTCCATTTTCCTTTATTATAGCATATGCAAAATTTTCTTCTTAAATTTTCAAAGGCAAAATTTAAAACTCTTCTTGAAGTTCTGGTTGAAAAAATTCACTTGATTAAGGCTAATTAGGGGGAAGGTAAGGGGGAAGCCTAACATAAATATAAATATTTAAAAATAAATCCAAGTGTCTGATTTTGCTAAAGCTTTCACAGAACTTCAGTTACATGTGGTAATTTTTGTTTCTTTATGAAATAGTTGATATTTTGGTAATCAATTAAGAAAGAATTTCACTGGTCAGTAATTAACTCCCCCCCCCCCCCGCCCGTAGAGTTCTTATTTTTGTAAATGACTCTGGGGAAGACTCCATTTACATTTTGCTTTTGAGACCTAATGTAATAGCTGTTGAATATTTTGAATAGTGGGTTTCACAGATAAAAATCACAGAACACAATGTAAGTGAAAATTCTATATTAATTGTAAAAAGTTGTACAAATATGGTTTATGATAATTACTGAAGACACCTGACTTTATTACATGGCCTTAGGGAAGGATCTTAACTTCTTTGCAGGTATACTTTGATACACAATGGTTCAATAATCAGAATCTGCCCTAAGCAGTTTAGAGATGGAACAGATGAAATACTCTTTATTACATAGTTCACAGAATTTTGCCTGAGATACAGTGGGCCCACTGGAAGCAAGCTCATTCTACTCACTACAGTGACATGCCTTTCCCTTGACTATATATTTTTTTCCTCCTTCCTGATCTTTTTCTTTAATTTTTTGTTTTGTTTTGTGAGGGCGAGGAGATAGAGGAGAAATAAGGGTAACGGTGAGGAACAATACAAAAATCTGGAGCCAAGGAGAGCGGCTAAGTGGTTGGGATGCACGGTAACTGTTTTTGTTCCACAGGACAGCCACTGGCAGCAGAAGCAGGGGTCCTGTAGTTATGCTGGAAGAAAAGTTCTTTAGTGGAGCTAAACGTGTATTTAGAATCCTTTTCCCCCAATAGAAATAAACCTCTCGTTTCATAATGGAAGCCAAAGGAAAATTTGTTTTAGGGAAAAAACAGGAAGATTTTTTGTTCTTTATTTCTAGGGATCTTTACGGTAACCCCTTTGTTTTGTAATTTAGTTTTCTTATTATGTGCAATCAATAAATCATGCTGTGTAATGATCATAAAACATACCAGGCTTAAAAATATGTATATAAACCTTTTTATGGTTTAAAGGTAAATTCAAATTGTAGATTAAAGCCAAGCCATCATTTAAATGGAATCTGGGTAACAATATTAAAAACACAGCATCTAACAGGGAATAAAAGCTAGAGATGGGGGTAAGAGAGGCAAAAAGAAGAAAGCAGGCAAGGAGTTGAAGCTAAAAATTCCACAACATAAAGCTTCAAATTCAAAGCTGTTTTCTCCTATATCATCCGTCTCACAGACAACTTAGTAGCTTAAATATTAAAATATTCAGAATTTATAAGGCTAACAGCTGTTTTATAACAATAATAAGATTCCCTCAAACAGAATAACCAGGGGAGATTAGATAAACTCTCCATTTTGTTTGTTTCCAGGAACACCTACTACCTCCTTGTGGACGAACGACACGAGGCTGCACAAACGAGGGCTTCACAACTTCGAACCACCAGAACAGCTCGGCCATGAACACCAAATAATTACTCTGCGTAAGAGAGTTAAGAAAAAGAAAAATCAGGTAAGACTTGACCAGAAAGTAATGATAAATACAATTTTATTCTGTTTTACCTATTAAAACATAAGTTTAAATCTCATTCCTTAATCATTGGAGTGTATCTACTCTAGGCCATTAAATCTGGGATACAATATTCACGCTTATAGGTAAAATTTATAACAGCCATTCAAAACTTCTTTCCTGCTTTTCTCTATATATCCAGAACAGTAGTCCAATTTACGTGGCAGGCATGGGTACTTCTAACCAGAGAACCTGAGATTATGTATAAGGCACTCTTCATCCAAAGTCAATACAAACAACTTAAACAGCCTT